TGCATGACGTGGTGATGATCGGATCAAAATGTAATCTCGCTGAACGCCCAACGATTCCCAGGACGACAATTTATCCTTATCCGTCGGCCGCTGCAACCATTTTAGACGTTTTGCCAATTTCTCTACGCGACATACGGGCGCATAAAAAAAAAATGCATACACCAAATGCGTCGTATAATAATATTATGTGCTTGTATAAAAGCTCAAAAAATCTACACCAAAGAGCGATTATTTCCATTTGAATATATACTCATACAGAAAAAGAATATTCTTGAAGGTATTCTATCTAAATGTCATGTTTCGATCATGCCATAATTAATCAAACGGTCGCATCAACTAGGCATAATATACCATTTTTTTTATTCCGACATCTCGAAAATTGTTAATATTATTTCACAATCTGACTTACATGAAATTATATAAATATAAACTATTATAAATATCAATTTTTTCAAAACTAAATAATCATATTTAAGATAACTGTAATTTATAATGGCCTTTGCAACCGAGGCTTTTGATCAACAAAAAAAAATATATATATTTTTGTCCGTTTTAATAAAAATATATTTAAGAAATTTAGTATTTTTATTGAAATTTATCAAATAGTAAAATATACTAAATATTTAATCGAGTACTTTATAGAATTTTAGCATTCATGATATACCTATATTATTTTAGATGACCAGTTACAAAATATGATTTGTGTTTTGACGCTTCTTTATTATTTTTTTTTTTTTGGACAATATAGTAGATTTACCGCTGTAAAATCCAAAAATTTAGAGATAAATACCTTTTATAAAATATTGACGATTATAACATTATAAGGTATTTTAGTCGAAAAAAATATTCAATTAACGGAAGTAAATAATCGACTGAGTATGGTTTTTGAATTAGTTTATAAATCAAGTATTATTTGAGTTAATCATCTCTATGGTCACACTTTTTTAATTGTATAGAGTTTATTCGTCTTCTCGAGACTGGTTATTAAAATGTCAATAAAATAATAAAAACATACCAAGTTTAATTACATTTTTTTAAGCGTTTTTGGCATATTATCTTACCTGTGAGGCGTGAGGAAATGTTGACAAGAACACAATAGCTGCTATATACAGACCATTTCAAGAATATCGACCCAACTGTCGTCCCAAACGTTTCGCTCATGTAATCCATTCGTTGATGGACGTGTAACAAATGTTTTATTTGATTTTCAATCAATCGCGTCTATATTAATCCTTGGTATTTCATTTACTCACGTACATAAATAGTCATCATCGTTTGAGCTACTGGCAAAAGCCCACCTCCTGTGGACCTAACCTAAGCTGACCACATTAACGTAAGCAAATAGTCGACAGCGTTTGGAGGAAAATCAATGCGAATAACGCACAACAAAAACAAATCCTGAGAATTGCGCACCAAAAAGACGTGGCTGGTATATCCTTGTAAATCCTGGCGGACGTGGCTGTGGCTGTGGCTGTAGCGAGCTTTCATAACCGAGAAATGTGAAATTAAATTTACCTCTCGCGTTTACTCTATACAGCCACAAATACACGAACGAGGTTTTCAAAAAAGATTCGCCATACGCGTACTTATGTATACATATATATATATATATATATATATATATATAAAACGTTGGCCAGTATTATAGCCGAGCGAGACCTCATTATTGCAAGGATTTCGTTTCGGCCCCCGGCGGATTTCTCTAGGGAACGCGCGCGCTACCGTGCCAATTGTTTCACACGCTAACACCACATCCACCGACCTTACCCTCTGCCCCCCTGCCCTCACCCACCCTACCCGTCCCTTCGGCCATATTATTACAACTCATAGAATTTCTCCGTGTGTTTACAGTCTGATCCCCACCGTAAATCTCATTTACGGCCAAAGGACCTGTCAAAATTATTTCCAACGGTCCCACGCGCTCCTGTCGAAATATTATATACCGACAACCGCCGAGGTAGTGTTTTTGTTTCCTTTGGTTTTTCACTCCACAGCTATCACACACAACTTGTGTACGTTATAAAAAAAATAGCACACAAGTTGCGTTATAGTTTTAACTATAACACGTAAAAAAGTACACGCCACACGGAAGTGAGTGAGAAAGGTATTTCCACTACAAACAACCGTCAAACCAGCCCGAAAAATCTTCAATATGTTCATTACCAACATATTTATTTGAATAATTATCAATTGTTTTTCAGCAATTGATAATTGCTGAAAAACTTCCAATAACTGACTCTCACCGGTAGTAAGGACGCCCGTAAAAATTTCATATTTACCTTTACCCGCAGTGTTAGTCTTAACTGATATTGTAAGTCAAATGTGTTACGCAGGTAATACGTCTTATTCGAAAAAATCAATTACTTATACTAAGAAAGTAAAAAACCCGACAAACGTTTTAATCCGATTGGCATTCGATCATAATAAACATAACTTTTATCACCAATGTTAATCCGTCACCATTAATCTTAACAAAGTCAATTATCCAAGTATATCCGAGTTCCTATATCCAATTATATACTTTACAATATTTCAATACAGCATAATAAGTACTTCAATTCTCAGAAAAAACACATTACATTGTTTATGAATTATGATTAACCATAGGTTTTTTCTTAATATAACATTATAATTTGTATTAGGTACATTTATTATGTCTATACACGCGTTAAGGTGATGCGATTATAGTAGACTTTTAATATGTATTTTTAATGTTATCTAAAGTGATAGTTAAAGAAGAAAAGTTTTTCTTTACTTTTGCAAACATGGTTTGTTTTGCATTTCGTTCGAATGGAAATTCGGTTGTTCGTACGTATTTCAGTGGAGTTTGAAACGGTTGCACGCAGAAAAAAGAGGGAGCCAAAAAGTTGGACGTGCCCTTTAACAAGATAAATGTAAATTTCTTATAAAAATGCAGTTGCCGACATAGTCTTTCGGAAACGTCGGGAAAGTAACAACGAAAGACCCTAAATTACCATAATGAAATTATTATCTGAAATAAAGGGGAAGCTGAACTTCTTTGTAACGCAGGTTTAAAAAGTAATTGTATACTATTATTATTATGATATAAAATTGCAAACGAATGAAAAAGTAATTTCATTTTGTATGAATAGTATCTCTATTCTGGCCAATACAAAATAATCTCTTGGCTCTTACCCCTAAAGAATATAATGTGTACTAATTTAATCGTTACTAGTATTTTATTTTAACTATTTTACAAATAATCCAATATAAAACAAATGTAGGTACCTATTTATCATTGTTAAGGGCATACATTCCAGAAATTAAACAGTTTAAACAAGTAAATAGATTTACTATTTGAAAGTAATTTTTGTCTCATAATTTAATACATTTGGTACAAAGTATACTTATCTAGTTGCGACTCATAGTACTACCTATACCCACTATAGGTATGTATTTTTTTTATAAAATCATCATTGATCATCATCACGATCTATGATGGTTTAAATAGTTTCATGTTGCAATAGCTTATACATTTAAATCGTTATATTACTTTATAGGATTACAAATTGACTTTCTGAAGTCGGTACAGAACAGAACAGAGTTTGCATCTGGTATTTTTTTGATATAGATACCTAAACGAAAACCGGATGTGAACGATGAACAAATATTATGTCGCTGCCAAGAGTATATTGGGGTCGCAAGGTAAAACAATTCATTACGGGAAGTTTTTTTGATTGAAACCCTGCACGTACACTTTTATTTCCCTGTCGACATAAAAAAAATGATGAATTCAACTTGTAGGGGAAAAAAAGATGAATAGAATCTAGAAATGAATCCAAAAATTTAAAAAAACCATAGATGTATGTGCAATGTATAGATGTATAATGCACTTCTCTCTTGTAGAGGTTTTTAATTAAAAATTTTCTGTTGTAACAAATTTGAAGAATATTCGTAAATGAGCATTCTTGGTCACTATTCGGCAACATGGATGGTTGAACTTTATCAAAAACCACTTGATTTTAATGTATTCTTATTAAAAACTATGTAAGAACCGACTCATTTGGTACATTCATTTAGAGTGAATGTTATTACAGATACTCGTTTGCTAGTAAATAATTGTATAATTTTAATAGTGTCTTTTACAATCAGGGTTGTGCAAACAAAAAAATAACCATGGTATTCTAGCATCATGTAACTGTTAACAAATATGTACATTTTTATTTTTATAAATATAATAATATATTATTCTTTTCCGAAATTGTATTAAACAATAGACATCATACGTCTTATAGGCTCGTTTAACAAGTAATTGGTGGTACACAATGGAATATAAAAAGTCGTAGTGGAACGAGAGGTGCGTTGTGGAACTTAAACATTTATACAGGGCAGTAAGGTTGGAGAGTCTACTCTACTAGCTAACAGTCCTTTCAAGAAATTTGCACCCATAATTAAGACAACATGATTTACAGTATCGAAAGCCTTATGAAAGTTCGTGTACATAACGTCTACCTGAAAATGATGTTGGAAAGCGTTGTAACCAAAATTATTAAATAGTTATATAATTATCATCTAATAATTTGAACTGAAATTCTGATTTTGATTTCTATATAATAGTACATAGAAATATAACCTATATTCATTTTTCACAACCCTCATATATTTTCAAATAAATATAAAATTCGATTGATATAGGTAGGTATTAGTACTTTTACAACCTCACGTACAGACAACACAAATTTTATAAATTTAAATGTTAAATTTGTTTAATCAACAAAAGAAATTTCACCAATCACATTAACACAAAATAGTAATTATAGAATTATATATGTATAGATACAAGTTTGAAAAATGGTTTTAAAACTATTTACCTATTAGAATATATATATATATATATATAGCTGAATAGTGTAATAATTTAGTAATGACAAATGACAATAAATAATAAAAAGGTAACTATAAATTATGTAAAAAAGGTAGCTACATTTATAATAATAATAGTTAATAATAATAATAATAATAAAACAAATATAGGAAAACAGAAACAAAAGGTTTTATCATATAATTATTTAAAAAAAGAACACAGTAATATGCGTTAAGTTGATGCGGATGTTTAAAATGAAATACCCAATAAGTAATAACATAACTATATGTACATTATAGTATATTTTATATTAAAAAAAAAATCAAAACGTTCAACACATAAAAGCCAAAAATATGGTATCATATAGCGAACATATTTTAATATTTTATTTTAATAGCCCAAACTCATCGTATAAACACGGCGGTGCCTACAAATAAATACCGTACGGTTTTAATCTTAATACATCCCAACAAACAAATTGATACACGCCTGAATGTGAGGTATTATAGGTTAAATTTCTAAAGTATTTCGAAAAAAATTAACTAATAATAAAACTTACACTTAACAACAAGCCGCCGAGATAGCGATTATGCTAGGCGATACAAAATAATATAATAGTATTTAATCTAGTTATAAATTATATTATGTTTTCAATAGTGTTGTTGAACCTGAGGAAGCACAACTTAAGTGAGGTTTCCGGGTCGGAAATCGGTGTGTTGGGTTTCCTTGTGTCGACGCAGATCGACTTTCCGCTGAAAAGCCCTGCCACAAAGGTCGCAAGCAAACGGCTTGTATCCGGTGTGCTTGCGGCTGTGTGTGATCAAATTTGACGACTGGCTGAATGCTTTGCCGCACACTTGACACTTGTGAGGTTTCTCACCTGTAAAAATAGAAAAGAAAAATCCCTTAGACGTCTAATTGAAACACTGGCGTGTTTAGTTCGCGCAGTAATGACAATAAAGTCATAAATAGTATTAGTTAATTTGGTGATGGTCGTTAATTCTTTCTCTGGGGAGGTTATTTGCGATATAGTTTTTATATTACACCATATTATAGCCGTATCCTATATCGTGGAAGCTGGCGACCGATCGTCATGCATTCAAGTGAGATATCCGTTTATAGATATGCGCGGTTGTAACTTTTCATAAATACTTATCTACTCCTATTGCAATAGGATAGCAAATCTATTACATTTATAAGACCAACGGAGTTTTGCACAAACGCTAACGGTCTCAAATCAATACAGTGAAATGTTGTTTTTGACTTGAATATTATTTTGATTAACTACCCTTGCGTGTAGGATATACAACGGACGGCCATTCGCGGTTGCCTCGTACGCAATTGCCGGAGATTTTCGCACCATTGGCGTGATTGAACGATGTGATGGGAACTTCTAATGAAGTCGTGCTTTACTTTTCGTCGCACAGACACGGCCCAGTCGCACATACTTTACAACATGAGTCTAAAACACACGGTGGCGCGGTTACTATGGTGACGATTACACATCATCACAAGTTTTACATCCAACCACTCCGTCGGCGCATCGCTGGTTCCGGACCAGAAGCGGAAGAGAAAGAGAGAGAGAGAGAGAGAGAGAGGTAGTCGACAAGAGATAGAGACTCGGAGAGAAGGTATGTGCTGCGAGAAAGAGAGGAAACCGCCAAAATGGGTGGAGCCGCCGTACGGCCAATCACTGCAGCAAACCGAGGTTTCTATTATTGCCATCGCTATACCCTTGCCAGTGTGTCCCCGGGTCCCTCGCCGCCGACCTACCCCCGTGTCCCGCCGTTGCCGTAATACAATATAATATATAATATGGTCGGCTGTATATTATAAAATTGTTATAATATTCTCGTCTGCGAGGAAACTAAAATGTTATAATATGACATAAAAGCCAGCAAGCGGTAATTAGGACGATTAAACTGCAAACGTATTATACTGTTTTACTTGACAAATTTACAATAATAATATTAGTAGGTACAACGTTCCCTCTACGCTTTAGCTACAATGTATAATAGTGTACAATATACAATATTATAATACCATTAGATATGTACAATATATAACCATTCGACTCATAAATACGTATATTATATGCATGACAACGTTAACAACAGTTCTATGTTGTACAACAACGTTTATACGGGAACTGCGTCCTGATCGCAAAGGTAATTTAACAATTATTTATAATTTAGCCACAGAACAAACAGAAGAGAAACTATATAATTTTTACATTGTGGGTTCTTATAGAAAGAGATAAAATCATGTCAGACATCTTGAGAAATGGACAGTGCTAGTAGGTGTAGGGAAATTCTTATTTTCCGTTTATTCTGGCTAAACTGTTACTCGACAAACGCGGAAAACAGCGACGGCACTGTTGTCAGTGTAGGTCATTTAATAAACTAACAGTGTGGGCATGAATCACAGAAATTTTTTTTTAAAAAAGGAAAATATGCGTTCTAGCATCACTGCCTATTTCTTAATATGTCTGATCGTTGTTTGATGAACTCTAAGATTCCCGTTTGTTTATTCTGTGGTTTAGTAACATTGTTATCAAGATTCGTAGTATATACCACTGTATCATAAATATTGTTATATTTTGGTATTTCATTATGTTAGTGGTATTTTGTTACAATATAACCTGTATAATTGACAAATACACTTAACCAATGCGCGTCAATCAAATAGTGCTGTCAGCGCAGTTAGTCGTTACATGTTCAGCCTACAGACACGCGAGATCAACAACCGACCCTGGCACAAAATGAAACCGAGCAATTTAATAAGTTTATTATGAATCTAAATTAAACAAAAGCGTATGTTAAATAGATATTTAATTGACGTCTCGATTGCAAACGGTTGATTTCAAGCTTAGTGCTTACATATTAATTAGGACGCAGCCATGGCCGTCAACCCGTTGGATGTACTATGTGTGTAGAACATCATTTGTTGGCTTCAAAATGTAAAAGGGGGAGAGCAATGTGGAATGAATACTACTTAAACTTTTAACGAGCTCGGTGAAAGTTTGAAAAACGCGACGAAACCAAAATGTACGGTGTTAGCGGTCTTTGTAATTGTTTTAATTAGAAACGCGCCAAGTGGTTTAATCCACAAACGTTTGCTCGTACGGGTTCCCGAAAAAAAAACAATCTCCACGAGATGTGTACATAATATGAGTTCGTCGTAAGTACTTTTGAAGTTTGCAGTTTGCGGGTGCCGGAAAATAATACACTGAAGAAAAGAAAACCAATCAAGTATCAACAGAGCAGTAGCGGTAAAGGCTGCGACGGTGATGGTACTATTATAATATGTGTAGGCATTTGTACTTTGTATGCACATTTATATGTATATATATATGTACATACATACATGTATATATATATATATATAGTCAGAGTTGCGTGACTTTTCGAATCTCGAAACCGTAAGTACAGCTACTTTGGAATTCGGGAAAAGGTGTCCCTTGAGGCTTTTGGGGGTTCGAGCGCAAGGCGTACCGAGAGAGAATATACACGAATAAAAAAAAAGTATAAAATATATAAAAATAAAAGTAATGGAAAACCATTGTTCATCCGAACTCACTTACCAGGAACACCAGATAATTTGGTAATTTAAAAACAAAAAGCTCTTTACGCCCAACAAACGGGCATAATATTAGATTTCTAAAATACATAAAGTATATACCTATTTGTGCCAGATATGTTATGTACATAAAGAGAAAGATGAAATCGACGAGTAAGAAGTATACTTGAATAAATAAACGGAATCAATTGTATCGTGAAAAAATAAAAACCTAGTACTAATAACATATACCTATATCTTATCTATATTCTCTTATTTATCTACTATATATAATATTATACATTTAATATGGGTTTCCATAATAACCCTTAGTCCTAAAAAGGCAAAATTCAGCCAAAAATGGGTTAAAATGAACTATTTTTACAAAAAAAAAAAACTCCAATATTTAAACAATTAATTAGCTCAAAACCATAGAAAATGATAGACTCATTTTATAGACTTGTCGTACCGTTATAATATCTTTAGCGATATGTCTTTATCCTTGTTTTGTGAACTGCAACTTTCATATACTTCGACAACTAGTAGCAGCCATTGAGTCCGTCTGAAGGGGGACCTCGTGGGATAAAAGAGACGCCTAACCGAACCGGGCGAGACACGGTAAGGAGTGAGGAGGGTCGAAGAAAAATGATTGCAGTTAAACGTGGACGGAATAAATAGTAAATCGTTGCAATCATCGGCGTATATATCTGTGTATGTATATATATTGTGATATAATATATATATATATATATATATATTGTATTGAACGACGGACAAAGTAAAAAGGAACGCGCATCGTTTAAACGACTGACGGCGGCAGACCCAATAGGGATGAAAAAGACGTTCGTGTAAAGGGAAAGCATGTATATACTGTAAATGTATATATATAATATAATATATAAGTAGAGGACAGCCGCCGTTTGATTGATTTGGGTCAAGATTTCCATTATATAGGAAACGCACATGAATTTCTTGTCTTTCTTGCCAGGTCCGTTTTAACGCACTAGTTTATACATATATATATATTATATACTATACATGTATAGTCAAGTGTAATAAAGTCCTGCGATTTTTAAATGTGTTCATCATCTTATCAAATTCCGTACGTGTCCGGCATTCCTGTACAAGTAAACTGCAGTGCGTTCATATCTTATTTATCAGAACGAGTAATGGCCGATCTACACCCCTATCCGGGGGGTAGTCCCTCTCCACTCACCCCTTCCACTTTTCCCCCCGGTCGTTCCGTCTATCCTCAAATCTTCTAGCAACGCGATATTTACTCGATAATGGGCACAACCTCTCTTCCGAACAAACCACGTCCGGCGGCAATCGATAGCGATTTTTCACCTTGTCCAAACTAATAGAGATGTTTCCGCAAATCGGTTTTTCTCCACCGTTTTACGCCTCCCAACGACCGAGGCTTAACTTCCCGTTTACCATATGGCATAACATAATGTAGTATAAGTACGACGGGGTTAATCCATCCAAAATATCTAACACTTAAGTTTATAATTAACACTTGTTGAAGTCATAATTATAAACGAAACGTACGTATATTTTTTTGAAATAGTTAATAACATATCTGGTACATTATTAATATATTCTACTGCAATGGCTAATGTGTACTTAGCGTAGTGTATCGCAGCCGCCCTACAAACATTTACAACGACATTTGATAAGAGCGCGACTGATACTGTACTCTAGTTTAGTCAAAGAGCGCTCATTGTAAGTAAGTATAGATACAGAGCTCAATAGAGCTACGCGAATCACTTTTGGAATGGCGACAAAGACTTAACAGATTTAGGCAGATTGATGCACACAGAACGGATCGTAAAGAAGATGAAAATCAACTCAAATCTCCCAACATACCCATTTATAATAACATAATACCAAACCCTCAGAAAATACTCAAATCGAGACATCCTAAATAGGATCTAGAATCTCGGTCAGACACGTCTAATGTAAAAATGCATAGAAAATATATCCCCTTTTTATTCATACGGAGAATGGAGATGAACAAACCATTTGACATCTCATCGATGTGTGCCCAAACACTAAGTTCCAAGGTGAAATAGTGCCTACACTAGGCCAATATGAAATCAGTGACATGGATAATTGTTTAAGAGATGCGTTAGGTTATGACAGTTGCCAAATTTACACTTAAGGTACTACTAATATATGTATAATGTATTACTAATATCTAATGTACTATAAATATATATTTATGTATACAAAAAAAAACCATAGTTCAACCAACTATGTATTTTTTTTTTTAGTATACATATCATACTCATTATTTATTTACTACATAACATCATTTTG